ATAGATGGTGACATCACAACATCTGCGGGAAGCTCATTCCACGGTTTGACCACCCGAACCGAGAAGGAGAACCTCCGCACATCCAGCCGTGCCTGCTGAGTGCGCAGTTTTAACGGGTGACCTCGGAGGTTGGTCGTGGTAGCAAATTCAAAAAAGTCCTCGAAGGCCAGACTGCAATCCAACCCCTTTACAATGCGGAAGGCTTGCAAGAGATCTCCGCGAAGTTGCCTGTAACTCAAAGGAAAGAGGTTCAGATTTACTAGGCGGGTCGCATAAGGAAAGGAGCTTTGACCCCTGACCATCTTCGTGGCTCTCCTCTGGACTCTTTCGAGGCAGTATTGATCCACAACACCCCACGGCCTCCAAGCTTTTATGCCGTACTTTAAATGCGGCCGGACGAATGTTCCGAATGTCTTAGAGAAGGCTTCTTCGTCAAAGTCCAAAAACGCACGCTTGATGGCGTACAGTACGGACATTGCGGTTTTTGCCACCCTCGAACAGTGGGCGGATCGTTTTAGGGAACTCGTCGTAAGCACACCGAGGTCCTTTTGGGCTTCGACCTCTTGTAGGGCTGCACCGCCCAGAAAGTAGCCTCTTGTGCTGGCGGATCTGGCTGTGTTGCCTAGGCGAAGTATGCTACATTTGGCAACGTTGAACCGCAGGAGCCAACGGTTTGACCACTCCTCCAACCGATTCAGGTTCATCTGCAGTCTGTCTTCATCGGCAGGACCACGAATTACACTCCATATCTTCATGTCGTCCGCAAACATTGCTACTTCACAGTCCAAATCTCTTGCGGCATCGTCCACGTAGATAAGGAACAAAATGGGTCCCAGTACTGAACCCTGGGGGACAGCACTTTCGAACATAGCCGGATCTGATTTTCCCCGACCGACGCACACAACCTGGTGTCGACCCACAAGGAAGTTTTCGATCCATTTATGGAAGTTGCCACCGATCCCTATTTTTTTCAGCTTATGTAAGAGCCTTTGGTGTGGCACAGTGTCGAAAGCCTTCTGGAAGTCGATGAAGGCTATGTGGACCGCGTGCCTGTCGTCGAGAGCTTGGGTCCAGCTCTGGAGAGATTGCAGCAGGTTTGTCGTGCAGGATCTTCCTTTTCGGAACCCATGTTGGCATTTCGATAGCAGGCCGTGAACTTCCAGGAATTGCATTAGTTCACACTTTATGAGCCTTTCCATACCTTTGCAGAGAATGCATGTCAAGCTTATGGGCCGGTAATTTGTCGTCGCTGCCCTGTTACCTCCTTTGTGTAGCGGAGTAATATGCGCCAGCTTCCAATCGACAGGAAGTGTTCCAGTGTCAAATGACGTTTGAAAGAGCATCGACAAAGGTACAGAGAGCTCACGGGCAAGTTCCTTCAGAAGCTTGGATGGAATCTCGTCTGGTCCTGGCGACTTCGATTCGTTCAATGCCTCTAATTCTCTTCGGACAATGCCTTCTGAGAAGAGTATATTACTGACGCTTGGAGTCGGCAGTTCTTCTGTGGAGGGAGGAAGGAACCTTGCCTCGTTCGTATAGACTGATTGGAAAAACCGTGAAAAATACGCAGCTTTATCCCTACTATCAGCGATCTCAACGCCATCAGCAGTCTTTATCAAGGGGATTTGATGCCTGTTCCTTGTAGTTCGTCGGAGGTAGCTGTAGAGCACTGTAGCCACTTTGACACGAACAGCCTCATCCGGTGTGTGAATTCTGCCTCGACGACGTCCGTATAGAATCCCTTATACACTACCGCACGCAGGCCAGTCCTGTCTGTACCACACATCTTCCCTTTCGTGAGCGACAGTTTTTTCCTTTAAAGTTGGTCTAATCGCATTCATTTTGTTTATAAGGAAAAGAGTTTTTCCCTGTTTGCTCATGATTTTTCTGACTAAACTTCTTATTCAAAAGCATGAACTGAATACTCTGGAGATTCTGTCTACCCGTCCAAAAATTCATATGGAAGTTCATGCTTACTTGCTCTGATGAGACCGCCAAGGTTCTTTAATAAAAATTTAGTTATTATTATCGGTCCGTTAAAATAAACACTGGATTCCGAGACGGACAGTAGTCAAGTAGTTTGGATCTCATTATCACTAGGGATGCTAGTTGGATTCTCGGATTGGACTTGTACACGCCTGTTGGTCGAAGTGGCCGCTGCGTTCTTGTTCGGTAGTATAGTAATCTTCCTGCACCCGAAATTCGAGCAGTCGAGGAGCTAAATGTATGGAAAGGGGATGATCCCCGAATGAAAAATCTGCTACAGTAGGTGAACTGGAATGCTGCACAATTACCTGACTCAGAAAGCGATTAGCTATCCTTCAAGAACCTAATGCAACATTTGGTAGAGAGCTGTTGACCACTTAGGAGGGAACCGATCACTTCCGACCGGAGTGGGTGACGTCAAAAATAAGGAAGAACGTTAGACTGAAAAGTTGGCAGTGACCAGAGCATTTCACTGACTTTAAACAACAGAGAGGTATATGTTGAAATCTGCTGAGAAGAGAACGAACAGAATTTGAGTCCCGCGAAATTCCAATAGATTCGCTGGATACGTGAATAAAGCGAAACGTAACCGGGACTGTATTCCCGATCTAAAGGATTGCCGGGGAAATAGGTTGTCGGATAATTTAGGCAAAGTGAACCTGTTGTTCGGTTTCTTCGCGTCTGTGTATACCGAGGAGCCAGCTTTTGCTAAAAGAGTTTACCCCCAATTGTCAAATCAAGCAATACAATTAGCACAGTGGCCTTCATAACAGACACCTTAAGGAAAACTTTGAGTCAACTACAGCTCACTTAAGCACCTGGTTCGGACGGCGTACTCGCAAAAGTCCCGAATGAACTCTCAAACCAACCGGCCTCTTCGTTATCTAAGATCTTCAAAGCTTTGATGGAGACTGGGGTTCTGCCTACCGATAGGAAGAAAGCCAATATAAGCCTCAAATATAAAAATGCCTAGAGAATAGTAATAAAATCGTTTCAGACCAGTGAATCTCACATGAATCTGTTGCAAGTTGACGGAAAAGGTAAAAAGCGGAGCGGATGCGACATCTTGAAGAAAACAACTTGCTCAGTTTGCATCAGCATGGGTTTAAAAGAGATCGATCCTGTCTTACTAACCTGCTAGTATCCATTGAGAGCTAAACGAAATCAATCGAAATGGTTTCATCAGTCTTGCAGGTTGCGTGTTTTTGGCTCAATTGTATTTCATAGTATTTATTCCCAGGCTGTTTCCGCCTAGCATCAGCGTGGTTACACTGGATAAAAAAGACAGCGACCCTATTAAATAGGTACAACGGAGGGTTAATAACAATCAGAGGGACTTAGGAGCCTATCATGTGCAGAAAAACTGATCCAGTTCAGTTCGTTTCCCCGAATCTATAGAGAGTTGAGGTGCAGCCTGCACTGGGCATACCGAATTGTCCGCGGACATGACTGTACGGTCAAACCTCAAGACTTATCCGAATTTAAAAACTGGATTTACCTGCGTGGTTACCCGTACTAGGCCAAACTCGAGTATGTGCGTCTAGACCATTCAGGGTTTTCAAAGGTCTTGCCTATCACCCTTACCCAACAAACTGAAGTGAACAGACCAACGGAAGTTTCCTCTGGTCTGTGAGTAATTCGACCCTAGAAGTCACTTTTGAACGAAACCGTGACTTCTAATACACTGATTTGATTCAGAAAGCAACCTGACTGTTTCACTTTTTATAAGCACGTTTCTCAATTCAGGACTGTTTACGACCAGCAATGAACTATACTTTCTGATTCCATTCCTCACACCTCGCATCACTGCATGTGTGATGTAAAATGGCAGAGAAAACGCTGCCGGCAGATTGTATTTTCTGCCGAATGTATACTACTGCATTTATAATCTCAACCTCACACAAATACCCTGGTAGCAACTACATATCGAGGCGACAGCGGCTCGTTGTGGAAACGTCGCTATCCGTACATATGACCGATCTATGGTGGATTTTGTCAAAAAGGTCGCCATCGAGGCGAAAGCGAATTATCGCGATACGGCGCACTGCGGCAGCAACGTTATATACGCCTGCCTTAGGAAAGTATGCATTTATTACTCAAGCAGGTTATAGCCCTATCTTCCCCCCTCGTCTAAGGAATCCTCTACATATGCCAGTTCATAAACTGCGCGCCTACCAAAATAAAATGGAATCAAAGTCATAGCATTTCTGATTTAAGCTATATTAAAAAATAAACAGTACAAATCTAGATCTACTTGACATCCGCCATATTCACATGCGTGGGCCTGGTGGATGGTTTTATAGGCCTGGTAATGGTCCTAACCGTTAGTCTTATTCAAAATGGGGTCTGCCATACTTTGCCGCTTCCATAGGGCGTCTAGACATCTTTTTCAGTCGCCTAGTAAAAGTAGCCTCTAATTCATAAGTACCCACTCAGCCACGTTTGCTCGAAATGGCGTGAGCTCCTGTTTCGCAATTGTAAATAAACAGTAACCCGCGAATACGTGCATACATAAATAGAGTACATTGTCCGTTTCTAAATTCTTCCCCATCAATTTAATACTTGTGATCGACTATAAATGACTTCCCACTTTACCGGTTTTCAATTCTCGGTCCTTCTTTTCCTCTGGATTCTCGGCTGCCATTGCTACACTGTTTTATTTAGCTACGGTGGACTGCAGGTTGGATATCCGTCCTTACCTAATTATTCACTTTCAGCTTTTAAAAAAAAACGTTCGAGCATCCGACCATAATTCCACATGCATTGGAATAATAATAAAACAGCAACAAGATATACAGTACCTCCTGATTCTCAGGCTAATCCTACGTATCCTTCAAGAAAGTTGCCTTTTACTAAACAACACAGAAAGCGGCACGAACGAAGTGATTAGGGAATACTAGTCTGCCATGGTTCACCACTCAAAGCTTTTGCCCCCTTTGTATGAACTTCCAACCTGTTTCCCCAGATACTATGGGGGAGTTCTTCTAGTTGGAGTTGGCAGTTTTGCTTTGAACATGTTTTTCGCCATCCGTGTCGTGCAAGGTCGCAAGAAGTGGGACATAAAGGTACGCATACGTCATCTATACAGACACTTTTAGGCTCCACTGATGTATCACCCAACCAACGAAGAATTTAACTGCATTCAACGGGCACACCAAAACTAGTAGTGTTTAGTTTGTATCTTAGATTTATTGTAGTCTCGAAACCTTGCCATTTTTCCTTATGGGTCTCTTTGTTGGCGGTCTTCGATGCCCCGTAAGCGTTTTCCCCACTAAAGCCTCATCCTTTAGGTGGGCGCCGCAGTTGGTGGTTCCATTTACCTATTAGGAAGATTGGTCTACTATCTTGGGTATACAAGTGGGGGTAAGTTGTCTTTCAAACAGTTCCGTTTTGTCCTTTCGTGTCTATCTTTCGTGCCTTGACTCCTGCCGCGCATCGCAGCTTGGCGACAGCAGGTGGTCGGTAGTTTACAGCTGAGCTATTAGAAGTTTAACACGACCGTAGAAATTTTCACCTTATGCGTTTTAGTAAGGGTATTTGATCTGGGATGGCTGTGGTCGTACCCGATCTAGCCGACATCAGTTCAATACAGAATATTGGCGATAACTTGACCTCGAGGGCGTTGCGGACTGCATCTGCATACGTGATCTGCACCGGCCGATCTGCAGAACCGCAGCTACTTTGTCAACAGAGGGACTTGATACCGAAGGTTCAGGAAACACCTACTGTTTGAGTGGACCCTGTTGAACCAGGCTCTATGGTCACCCTCTATTCGCCACCTTCAGGTGTGTAAGTACCCTGGGTCAAAGAAAGTGACACTTAACTTATGGAGCGTGCAGTGAGAGACTAACCCAAGCCACCTCAATCGTTTTCCTGTGATGTCTGAAGATATCCCCGTGACGTTTCAGTGCGTGCGGACATTTTCACTCGAGAGGAAGTTGATGTACATCACTCGAAGTATGATCATCAGGTAAAGGTATTTAACAATCCCCGATTTGCGCTTGCCTTCAGGATACTCAGTTGAGCATTAAAAACCGTACCTATGAGCTGGGCTAACGGATGTCCTGTACCGATGGATCTTTTGACGACATGGATATTGCTACTCGTCCACAGACACATTCTAAGACTTTCCAGAAGTCGGAGAACAGCATCGGTTAGAGGAACCCGTCTTCCTTGTCCTCAGCGTCTGGAGGCAACTTCTCCGAAATATTTGAGGCTCCACTTTTTCACGTTGATAACCATTAATACTGAGCGGTACCCCCTGGTCAGTAATGCAGGTCGGGAACGCTGCATGTCCTTGTGCCCCTGGGTAGGTCGCCATATCCAGCGATCGCGTTCATCCTCGACATTTTATTCTGTAGATCATAGCAGGCTGGTGCAATAGCGATACTATCCTGAATGCAGCCCGAAAATGCTGCTATTCCTAGTGCTTGTGCATGCGTCAAACCATTTAGCGGTCTTATTCACCCTCAAAAGCACATCCTGCAGATCGTAATAGTCTGGTGCAATGAGGACTATCGCCAGTATAGTTGAGGTCAGGCAGCTGGCGCCCGGATGCAAGTCGATTATGGCCAAGATTGCGTTGAACCCTCGCAGGAGCCAAGTTAATGACGCAGTCGAATTTGACGGGCGATCGGTCGCGACCTTATTGAATTACAGGCTGAATATCAAACGGTTGTGGTTGTTAGTGTTCAGAACTTCGGGCATACCGCCTAGGCCTATCATTTGTCTCAGAGACTTGCAACGGGGGGATTTAACGCTGCTGCGAAATCATCAAGGCAGTTGACCGTTACTGATTGTTATCCATGACGGAGTTTAGAAAGGCGCTGTAGTGCGTGTACTTTGTGGGTGACTATATTTAGCTGAAATTTCGGTAGGGCTGGGTCTCGTTCTTGAACCATGCACGCCAGGAATGACAGTAGCGAAGATCTTTACAACAGTGCCAGTATAACTTATAGCATGATAGTTTTGGAATCTCGCCTCATTTGCCTTCTCGGCGACCGACCATGATGCCCGAGCTCCAATCATCGGGAACGGTGTCATTCCGCCACGCCCAACTACCTAATGGGAACAGGCTTTCGAACCCAGCCATGTAGACATAAGCTGGGATGTTACCCACTCCTGACGCTCTTTTTTGAAGCTCCACTATTGCTTCCATAGAAAGGAAGGTCACACTACACTGCATAATCTGGAGGGGGATAAAACTACCACCGGAGGAAAATGGTGGTGGCTTGGTCATCAAATTAGGAGGGGCACTCGAAGGGATCGCGCCAACGTCCTACCTTGGTCGAGTTTTAGATAATAAAGTCGCCATTCATTTCTGAAACAGTCTGTGTGGCTTACCTACAACTAACTTACTGAGAAATTTTGTGGCTTTTGAGTGTAACTCTACGGAAGTCGCTACTTCAGCTCAAAAAATTCCGCCGTCATGTTTCGCAGTTGGTTGGACGAATGATCGTTGCGGGACCTAAATCGAGCCACCTGAACTCCATCGATTCTCCATTGTTGCGTCGCCAAACAAATCTGGAATTTTTTCAGCTGCCTTGTGGACCGAGGACTTCACGTATAGTCATTTGCCTTTGTCTTCTCCTTGAACGATACCGTGTTTCTATGCTCATGACCTCTGTTGTATTGGGTCGCAGCAATTCTGCGTCATCAAGGCGTTTTGTAAAAAACTTTGCGCCTGCTTAGTTCTCAGTCGACCTCTGTTGAAAGCCATCTTCCGTCAACGCACTGGCTGGCGAACAGTCAGTTTAACAGGCGGTTAACTTAGAGACCAGAATAGTGCGCTTATCACTAGAATACTTTCTAAGAGCATTTTGTGTAAAACGAAAACGTAACGCTGTAAGAAACTCGACGGGAACCCACTGCATGCGCATCAACTGAGACGAACGAAGATTATTGCCTGCTGCGCCTATTCTGTTCCGTCACAGGTAGCCTGATCTCTGTTTTCTCCACAGATCCGAAGAAACGATGCAGAGGTGCATTCGGCTTCTTAGCACTGGCCCTTCTTATGTTGAATGTGTCAATCACTGGCGTTCAACATCTCGTTGCAAGCATTCGGTAATTATCATTTTCCTTAATGTTGCATGTTGCCTAGCTTTAGACAACAGGAGTTATGTTTGCTTCCCAAGTACATGGACTTTCTGTGACAGAACTTTACGTCTTAGGACTTTAAGGTCTCATATATGATATTATTGTGCTGTTCCATAAATCTGAGTGCTGAAACAAGACACTGGATAGTTGATCTATACAGATCTTAGGACTAACGACGTCAACTTCACTTATCTGATCATGTCATAAAGGTTGGGCAGATGGCCAACTGTACAATTCGACTTTCTTCCTAGGGTCTTTTGGCCTCTAGGATTGATTTTTCTCGACCCTAGAGGCCTCCAAAAGCTCCATGTTGACGGCAGGTTTTCCCTCACAGTCACACCTGCTGCGAAGGACTTTAGCGGTGGTACTTCGGTGCAAAATTAATGACTTCCGAGTCCTGCCTTAGATCTTGTCAGCGCCCTCTTGGTTACCGGTAAAGCACCTGTAAACAGCATTACAACGGGCGTGCCATCTCAGTGTTCTTGAACCCATATAGCTTTTCAATGTAGTTTTTGGACCATATTGTAGAGTACGTTCTGGTGCAATTTCGTGCGGTTTGTAAAATATTAGGCTGAGCCAATTTAATTGTGTTCAGTATATCATTGGGGTTGTAGAAGGGACATCGAAGGTATGGAGGATACCTAGGTAGCTATTTCTGGCTTATCTGCCGTCATCAGCCATCCATACCCCATGCTGGTGAAGCCAATGATTTGGACGTGGCGCAGTTGACTGTCGAGCATTTGATTCTACTGATGGGGCTTGTCACCATACTGACGTCGGTGATAGGTCTAGACCGGGGCCGTAAGACAAAAGGGAAGTCGAAGTCCCTTCTAGCCCCAGATGCGTTAAGTCCCACTTCATTCCATTTGTTTACTTTGTTACTTGGATGCTTTTTATGATGGAAACTTCATAATTTGACATCATTTTTACACTTCAGCGCCCGCCCATGTTGCCCAATGTCTCGCTAAGCTGTGACGTTACCTGAATGACAGAAGGACCGAAGGACTGGCAACCTTTTTAACTTTAGTCTTGTTTTGTACTCGAAGTAGTTTCAGATTATGTAATCGATTACTCACCTTTCGCCGTTTTTGTTTTCCCTGCTTAAAGTTCAGTTTCGGCGTGAAACCACAAGGGTTACTTCTCGCATGCTCTTGGGCTTTGCTTGATACGTATGTCATGTAAGCGTCTAACCCGCATGCGTACCAGGTGGCTTTGCACAAATGCCCACTCTAATTGAAGTCCCTTCCAGTATCGCACTTTTTGACGTCAGGCTGACGTTTTTAATCCGTGGTAATGACAATTAATCCGTCTTCAGATGTGATCAGCTGTCGGAGTGGTGGTTGTCGTTTACGCGATGGATTGTGGCAGTGATGATAGAGGTTGTGATAGGAGTCAACTCTGTCAAGTTTGGCGTCTTTGTATCAACAGTATGATCACTAGTGGCGGTCATGTTAGTGGGAGTTGCTGATTTAGTGGCCGGTGCAGGGGGTGACACTGGGGGTGGGGGAGTTGTCGGGCTGTTGTTGCACTGGGTCTGCAAATGTCTAACGAGACCGGTCCGTGCGCGGGATGTTCGTTGACGGCATGGACACGTTGGAGGTGGTGGGGTGTTGGGGTTAAGAGCCCACGACACCTGCATGACCACCACTTTTCCCGTGTTGACAGTCCGGGGTTTTCGCAGCCGGAGGTGTGGAGGCGCACATACTCCGTTGCAGGTGTACTTCTGCCGCGATGCCGAACGCGCAATCGTCCGCGAAGAGCAGATTGTGGACAGTGGTCGTTGATAAACGCGTCGGCGCCGGCTATTGAGAAGCTGGCCGTAGGTCCTGTGGGCGATGCTGGTCTCAGGGCACTCATCACGGTAGGCGTCAAGCAGCATGTCAGAGAACACGAGACTAAAGAATGCGGGAGTGAGTACGCAGCCTTGCTTCACTCCATTGGTCACTGCAAATGCCTCTGAGAATGTCCGTGATACGCGCTATCGTCTCGTTGTGGAGCTAACACATCATTTGTGTGAATCGTCCAAAACAACCGAGTTTCTGCATGATTTCCCAAAGTCCATTGCAAATTCACCGTGCCGAAGGTCTTCATCAGGCCCACGAAGTCACGACGTCTAGCGTGTCATGATACATTCATACGCGTCAGATTTATTATAGTGAGGAATGCGCTGACATGCCGTCGGAGGGAATCCGCAGTGTCGACCCCAATCCACTACCATGCAACAGTCGACTGTCTGGGCCTGTAAAACAACCGATAACTGCATGGGGTGCAGTGGTTGACAGAAATACGATAATCCACATGACGGTTTGACCGCCAGTCTCGAAGATGTCCACCGTAGGGGGAAAGCAGGGGCGGTGACCTGCGTCCAAATTAGTTCATAATGGTAGTAGACTTCCACAGCATCTGCCGCACACTCATCTGCCCCCCACCTAAGCCCCGTGTCAAGGCAGAGCCAAGAATACCTGAGGTGCGGGAGGACGCAGGTGGTTGACGCAGCCTAAGTCGCACCTAGGTGTGCCGTCACGCCTAGCTCCGATCCTACGAAGTGGGAGTACCATAGAGGCCACATTAAAAAAGAGCCATTGCAGCCTGACTCTCGGTCCACCAGTCAGCCACTCCAC